GACAGGATCAACAATGGAAAATATTAGAAATGAAAATTGTTAGGCTCTATACAAGCAGGCACAAACTGTAACAGAAGGACACAGTAATCTGTGTGTCCGTAAGTCCAAAAGGTGGTTAGGATACATATTAGATTGTGAACCACAGCTCCAAATAAACCCCAATCCAGTGGGTTTGACTTAATGGAGAATAAGAATTATTTGGGAAACTTAAAAAATTCCCACTGGGCACCAGTGGCTCATACTTGTAATCCTAGCTACTGGGAGGCTGAGATCTGAGGATCATAGTTCAAAGCAGAAACCTCTATGAGACCCTAATGAACTACTCAGAAAAAGCTGGAAGCAGTGCTGTGTTCAAGTGTCAAGAGCGCTAGCCTTGAGCTGAAGAGCTGAGGGATAGCGCCCAGACCCAGAGTTCAGGCCCCATGACTGGACACCCCCCCCAAAAAAAAAAGAGTCTCATGGACTTTCCTGCCTGGGCTGGCTTTGAACTGCGATCCTCAGATCTCAGCCTCCTAAGTAGCTAGGATCACAGGCGTGAGCCACCACAGCTTGCCCTTTCTTTTTATTTTGCAGTTGATGTAGCCTCCCTATCTCAGGCTGCTTTCTCATCCGCTTAATAAAACCTTTTTTCTTTTTGCCAGTCCTAGGGCTTAAACTCAGGGCCTGGGCACTGTTCCTAAGCTTCTTTTGTCAAGGCTAGTACTCTACCACTTGAGCCACAGAGCCACCTCCGGCTTTTTCTACATGGTACTGAAGAATGGAACCCAGGGCTTCATGCATACTAGGCAAGCACTCTACCACTAAGTCACATTCTTAGACTAATAAAACCTTTTCATATAAACCCTCCCTATTGTTCAGCCCAGGCCTAGATTTGCCTCCTAGGACAAGGTCACCAGGGAGAGGCAAGGAAGGCCTGAGATTAGAAGTGGTCTCTAAATTGGAACACATTAGAAAAGATTATTGGCATGTACCTCTAAGAGGGGTAGAGATGTTGGGAGTCTATGTCAGTGTGGCCATTTATGTATGTGTAAAGCAAATAGCATATGTGTATGGTTAACTTGCTGGGCCCATTAGTGAACACGTCAGTGTGGCAGTTAGGTCTATATACTGTGTCAACATGGTTGTAGGCAATGGTTCTCTTCAGTGTGAATGTGGTGACTGTATACATGAATTCATCCGGCAAATGTTAATTCAGCTTTCCTGTCTTAAGGATTTTACTCTTGATAGATTTTTTTCCTGCATTACCTATCTCTCCCTATCTACTAAATCACTCACCAAGTCACAAATACTCTAGGATTCCTTTTTCTTTTTGGTGCCAGTACTAGGGCTCTACTTTTTTGGTTCATGGCTAGCACTGTTGACATTTGAGGCATGCCTCTAGTTCTGGCTTTTTTTGCTGGTTAATAGGAGATAAGCCTTTCAGATTTGTTGAGCTACCTGTGTCTAGCTAGGATGTTTCTTTCCTTTTTTTTTTTTTGTTGGTTGTGGGGCTTGAATTCCAGGCCTGGGCACTTGTCCCTTAGCTCTTCAGCTCAAGTATAACACTCTACTTGAGCCATAGTGCCACTTCTAGTTTTCTAAGTGGTTTATTGAAGTCTCATAGACTTTCCTGCCCAGGCTGGCTTTGAACCGGGATCCTCAGATCTCAGCCTCCTGAGTAGCTAGGATTACAGGCATGAGCCACCAGCACTAATTTTATCTTCTAACTACATCCTTTCCCCACCTCTTATTTCCTTTGTATTTTAAGCTTTTTTGAAAGATCACTACATCATCTCTGGCTCCTCAGTTCTCTTCAAAATCATTCCCAGTCAAACTGAATGTACTTAGTATGGTCATCACTAACCACAATGACAAATCTAAGATTCTTCAGAATATATTCACAGTATTTGATGCAGTTGACTACCTGCTGTTTTCTGACTCTGGTTTCCTCTGACCTGATTCTTTTCTACTTGACCTTTTAATCAGTCTATCTATCTGCTTGCCTACCTACCTACCTCTGACGGCAGTACTAGGGTTTAAGCTCTTGCTTAGCTTTCTTGCTCACAGCTGGCACTCTACCACTTGAGCCATGCTTCTAGTTCTACTTCTAGTGTTTAGGACCTTCCCTAGGACCTTCTCTTCTGTAGATGAGCTCTTTTAGTCCCCTGGCTTTACTTATAATCTTGAATGTTATAATCTCTGAATTTCTATCTTCATATGTTCCTAAACTCATGGACAACTGTCTGCCTGTTTTCTCTGCCTTATTGTTGGTAACTGGCATCTCAAACCCATGCACATATCAGCACACTTGAGAGTATGCAAATTGTGACTTCCTCTACACGACTTCATCATAAATGGTAGCACCATCTTCCCAGCTGCTCAGGGCCAGGCACTCGGGAGTCACACTTGATTCTTCGCCTGCACTGTCTCCCAGCAAACTCTTTTGACTCAGAGCCCATCTTGTTTCCATCTCCATGGCTGCCAGCCTAGCTCTTTGGTCTATTACAGAAGCCTCCCAACTAGTCTGTTTTCACTGGTGTACTTTATTCTACAACCTTGCAAATATCTGGACTTACTCTTTATCACTCACTTTGCTATGACTATTCTGGCTTCCCTCTCATTTCTCTAACTTTATATCTCAGGCCATTGGACTCCTGGAATGCTCTCTCCTGCCCCATGTCTTTGCAGGTGTGCTGTTAGGCACAGATGTTGGTACTCTATAAAAGAGTGGGTTTGTGGGGTTTCCTATGACTATCTTGGGGACAGTTATATTCAAATGCAGAGAACTTCCTATTCTGGGAGAGGCCTGAATGTAAGAACAAGTTTAGCAATGCTTATATACTTACTGAGCACTTCTCATGCCAGACCGTGATCTACATGCTCACATATATTACTCAAGAGATTCTCATGACCACTACTCTGGACGGGGCTCTCTTCCAGCTGTTTTACAGATAGGAAAACCACAAAGCAGGATGCCATGCTTCAGTGGCCCACAAGGAAGCGGGCAATGGAAGCACCTGTGGAGCTCGTAAGCTGATGCTTTAGTGAAGTAGCCCGGACCCAAAGAAACCCAAACCCAAACCCAAACATGCTTTCCCTTATTTGTAATAATTAATATACATCTAGGATAATCTTAGCAGATAAGCAGAATGGCTCAATAGCTCATGTACATCTGACCATTAAGATGAGGCTAAGTGAAATGAACTCCAAGACATGGACATAAGAGGTTTTTCTTTGTTTTTAATGTAGTACATGATTTCTTTTTTCTTCTGTCTTTCCCCCCTGTGGTTTATCTCCTGTTGTCACTATTTGATACTGGTACCCTGGGTATTGTATAGACATTTATTTGAATCAAGGAAGGGAAAGGGAACAACAAAATGGTGAGACGAAGGACAAAAGGGGAACTAGTGCAACAGCGACACGAACACGACAATATGTTGGAAATGATCTGTATAATTTGGGGAGAGGCGGGGAGGGGGGAGTGGAGGAAAATGAGGGAGGAGGTAACAAAATGGACAAGAAATGTACTCACTACCTTACTTATGTAACTGTAACCCCTCTGTACATCACCTTGACAATCAAAACAAAAGGGCTAAAAATACTCAGCCAAGAGTCTGAACATATGCACACTCATAGTGATAGGGAAGATGAATAAATGGTGATTTGAATCATCTTCTACTGCCACATCGCCCATTTACTCAACAATTTTTTTTTTTGGTGGGGGGAGGCAGTCCGGTGGTGGGGCCTGAACTCTGGGCCTGGGCGCTATCCCTCAGCTCTTCAGCTCAAGGCTAGCACTCTACCACTTGAGCCACAGTGCCACTTCCGGCTTTTTTCTTTTTGCTTATGTGGTGCTGGGGAATCGAACCCAGGGCCTCAGGCATGCAAGGCAAGCGCTCTACCACTGAGCCACCTTCCCAACAATTAGCTCTTATAAAATCACTAATGTAGTAAAAAAGTATGTATGACATTCAAACATTATCTCAATGACTGTTGTATATGTGATAGTAAGAGTAGTACAGATGCCAAGGATGCAAAGCATGCTTGTAATTGAAGCAGGAGCAGAGTTTTTTTTTTTTTTTTTTGATTGGTCATGTGGCTTGAACTCTGGGCCTGGGTGCTGTCCCTCAGCTCTTCCACTCAAGGCTAGTGCTCTACCTCTTGAGCCACAGTGCCACTTCTGGTTTTCTAGTGGTTTATTGGAGATAAGAATTTCACAGACTTTCCTGCCCAGGCTGGCTTTGAAATGTGATCCTCAGCTCTCAGTCTCCTGAGTAGCTAAGATTACAGGCGTGAGCCACCAGCACCTGGCAGGCTAGACTAGGCTATACAGCAAGATCCTGGATTAAAAAAATAAAAAAGTCCTGAATTATAGAATTGGATAAAGTGGGATTTAGCCAATGTAAAAATAGAATTTAACCAAGTGCTGTCCAAAATGTGATTCCCACTGACAGGATCAACAATGGAAAATATTAGAAATGAAAATTGTTAGGCTCTATACAAGCAGGCACAAACTGTAACAGAAGGACACAGTAATCTGTGTGTCCGTAAGTCCAAAAGGTGGTTAGGATACATATTAGATTGTGAACCACAGCTCCAAATAAACCCCAATCCAGTGGGTTTGACTTAATGGAGAATAAGAATTATTTGGGAAACTTAAAAAATTCCCACTGGGCACCAGTGGCTCATACTTGTAATCCTAGCTACTGGGAGGCTGAGATCTGAGGATCATAGTTCAAAGCAGAAACCTCTATGAGACCCTAATGAACTACTCAGAAAAAGCTGGAAGCAGTGCTGTGTTCAAGTGTCAAGAGCGCTAGCCTTGAGTACAAACAGACTTGTGGATAGCACCAGGCCCTGAGTTCAAGTCCCAGGAATGGTCAAAATAATTTAAAAAAAAATTCCAGTGTATGTTCCAAAGCATCTTAGAATATATCTAGTTGTACAGCCTAATTAAATGCACTAAAAAAATCCGCTTAAGTAATACTGTCTATCCTGACTGGTGGCTTACAACTGTAATTCTAGCTACTCAGGAGGCTGAGATCTGAGGATAGCAGTTTAAAGCCAACTGGGCAAGGTTGTGATTCTTTTTTTTTGGGGGGTCCAGTTGTGAGGCCTGTACTCTGGGCCTGGGCCCTATCCCTCAGCTCTTCAGCTCAAGGCTAGCACTCTACCACTTGAGCCACAGTGCCACTTCCAGCTTTTTTCTTTTTGCTTATGTGGTGCTGAGGAATCGAACCCAGGGCCTCAGGCATGCAAGGCAAGCACTCTACCACTGAGCCACTTTTCCAGCCCCAAGGTTGTGATTCTTATTGCCAACCATCAAAAAGCCAGAGGTATAGCTATGGCTCAAGTGGTAGAGCACTAACTTTGAACGAAAAAGCTCAGGACAGCACTGAAGCCCTGAGTTTGAGCTCCATGATCAACAAAATAAATAAGGGGATATACCTGAATGTTTTTTTTTTTTTTTGGTTTGGTTTTTTTAAACAATGCTGGACATCAAGGGCGTTCTACATGGTAGGCAAAACACTCAAGTTCTAGTTCTTATATACATAAGAACAAAATGTACTTTTTATATAAGAACAGAAGTATCTCTTTAAAAAGGTAAGAAAATACTAATTGAAGCTTCCTCTGAGAAGGGGAGCAGGTGATCAGATTATAACTTGAGAGGAATATTGCTTTTACATTGTTTTCTGTGTGTGTGTTGGTCCTAGGGCTTGAACACAGGGTCTAGGCGCTGTCCCTGAGCTTTAGTGCTCAAGGCTAGTGCTCTACCACTTGAAACACTAAAGCTTTTTGGTGGTTTACTGGGGATAAAGTGTCTCATGGACCTTCCAGTCCATGCTGGCTTTGAACTTAGATCATCAGATCTCAGCCTCTTGAGTAGCTAGGATAACAGGTGTGAACCACTGGTGCTGGCCAGCTATGTTTGACTATTCTTACTAAGTACACATAATAACTATTCAAAGTAATTAATTAAAAAAAGTTACCTTAAGGGCAAAAAGAACCACTGCTTCAGAGAGAAGCAAAATAAATTAAAGAGCTGATGGATAAGAATCTGAGCAGTGAAGCTAAACATGAGGGAATGAGGCAAGACGGAATGTGGCAAAAAAGGTAATTTTTACCTTGCCCATGAAATTGTAACCCCTCTGTACGGTATTTTCACAATAAAAAAATTGCAAATAAAAACCAATGAATGCAAAAAACAAAATAAAATGTCAAAACACATTAAAAATTATCTGTACATGGGCTGGGAAGGTGGCTCAGTGGTAGAGCGCTTGCCTTGCATGCCTGAGGCCCTGGGTTCGATTCCTCAGCACCACATAAGCAAAAAGAAAAAAGGTGGAAGTGGTGCTGTGGCTCAAGTGGTAGAGAGCTAGCCTTGAGCTGAAAAGCTGAGGGACAGTGCCCAGCCCAGAGTTCAGGCCCCATGACCGGACCTCAAAAAAAAAAAAATTATCTGTACATATAAACAAGTTGAAAAAAGTAAATTTTAGATGACATTTGATAATAGAGGGTTATAAACACAGTTCATAGAAAAAGAAAAAGAATTACAAAATTTCTAATTATTTGAAGCTGTCTAATTTTCTAAGTAAAATAATAAAAGCTACAAGATCAGAAAAAAAAGATAATCTTCCTTCCAGTTCCTTTTTGAAGTAATGTTAGATAAACAGACCCAAACCAGAAAACTCAATTTATCCACATTCAGCTTTATTCTGAATTAAACATCTATCAATTATGTACACCAAAAGTGTAGAAAAAATTAAAGGAGCCATTCAAAAAAGTTCTGTGGCAAGTGGAAGAAAGGACATGATGTTAGGAGACCTGTTTAGGGAAGGAGATATTATCCAGGTCATGGATGCCATTTCTGTCAATGATTCGAACACTGAAAGTTGGCAGATTCAAGATGAAGCGCTTCTGGAGCTGTAGAGACATGAGGGATATCAGTTAACACATGTTTCTGAGCAAAGCTCTGTTCTAGGCCCAATAAAAATAATTGCTTTTGTGGAACTGATATTCTATTAGTAAGTCGAGGCTGGCTGGAAGATACTGAGCAGGACCTGGGGGATGCAGCTGGGAGCCTGTCTGGTCAGTCAGCTGACCAGAAAAGAAACAATCCAATATTTTTATGTAGACAGTCTGCTACCAATCAGTTTGGTATTTCTCTTGAAATGTTTCTAGGTAGAGTGATTTAGGAACAAGCGCTGAACCAAAGCAGTACATTACTAGGTCCCAACTCTGCTCCAGACATCTACCCATATTAGATAGAGTAGTTAGTGTGAGTATGTTTGTATGTTTGTGTGTGAAGGTAGGAAGGATATCATCAGAACAATTCTTAGAACAAGCTCTTCTATCTCTCTTCCAGTCTGGGCTCAGGCTGCCCCAAAGGAGCAATCTATATGCATGGAAACACAAAGCATAGCTTTAATGTCTTCACTTCTGTGGATATCCTTCCTGAACACCTTACTGACACAGGACACAATCCTGGTTCCCTCAGGAACCTATCCTGGAACTAGCTATCTCCCTAGACTTAAGCCCTCCTCCATTTCACGTTTCCATCTTCTTTGTAGCTGAGAATAGGGCGGCAACAGCCCACCCATTTCCAGAATCCTTTCTGGTTGATGACTCGTGTCCAGAATCAAACTCCAAGATAAAAAAAAAAATGACAATAAGGAAATAAAATTTAAAAATGACTATCTTCATGATCATGGGTAATAAAACTCTCAAGAGCATTTGCTATTTCAGTAACTTCTTCCTGGAAGCCCCTATAATAGTTAGGGCTGGCTAGCTTCTCAGTTGAATGGCTAAGACGAATACATGAGCTAGTTCTGTGTCTGCTTTGGAAAAGGGATTTATACATATGAAGAAGGGAGAGGGGTACTATGGTCTAAAAAAGATGCTTGTATAAGAGGCAAACTACATGATTGCCAGGGCTCTCATCTTCCTATTCTCTCACTAGACCATGACTTCAAGTTTATAGGCCACAGGAGAGCAAAACAATGAAAAAGCCTAATGGAATTATTTTCTACCACCTCATCCTTTTATTTACATCCAACTTAAATTCTTACTAGTAATGAGAAAGTTGCCCTATGCTTTTTTTTTTTTTGCCAGTCCTATGGCCTAGGCACTGTCCCTGAGCTTCTTTTTGCTCAAGGCTAACATTCTACCACTTGAACCACAGTGCTACTTCCAGCTTTTTCTGTTTATGTGGTACCGAGGAATCAAACGTAGGGCTTCATGAATGCTAGGCAAGCACTTTACTACTAAGCCACAGTCCCAGCCCAAATTGCCCTATACTTCTGCCAAAAGCTTCCTTTTGCTTTCTACAGCTTCCTGAATGCTGGGGGAAGGACTACAAGGGCTTATGCACTGTTGAGTGAGTACACAATAGGGTATTTAATGGAGGCCTCAGAACAGAGCCAGTATCAAGTCCAGGACAACAGCTCTTATAGTTAAGTACTGGGCCCAGTTCTCATCTATAGAAAAATCACTGGGGACTGTCAGTTAAAATAGAGTCTCAGGTTCTACCTCTGGACAGCAGAATCAGAACTGGAGGCAGAGATGAGGGACAGTAAAATCTGCTTTTTAAACAAATTCTCCAGATGATTCTAATACACACTGAATTTTTAGAACCACTAGTCTGTCTGGATAGACCACAAAGAAAGGAAATTAAATTATAAAATTGACATTGATGAGGAGATGACCCATGAGAAGTAAGTCTGCTACCCACACTGAACTCATCCCTGGTAGCAACTTTACATCTGGTCAGTGGGTATTTATTACACCTTCTGGCAAGGACTAGAAAGAAAAGCAACCAGGGAAAAGGAACACTGGCAAACAGAGAGAAAACATTCCTTTCAGGGTCCCATGGGAGCTACTTACCTCCTCCAGACATTTCCTAAGAAGCTCCACTGCCTTTTCACGGGAGATAGCTGAAAAGACAACAGGGAAGCCAAGTACTGTAGATGCTGTCATTAAATGCAATCTTGGCAGATTTTGATTAAATTTCAAATTTCTTCAGATCCAAGTGCCACAGAAACAAAAAAGGCAAAAATGTTTAGGCTTCAAGCCTTCAATAAACTCATTCCATATGCAACGGAGGGTGCCCCAGACCAGTGCTCCAGCAGCTACGAGCCATTGCAAATTGATTTGCTACAGAGAGGGGTAAGCATGATGGAATCTGTCTCCTCTGGCCAGAGCCACTGCTGATCAAGTCCAGTGGTCTGCCTCTCTTTTTCACAGCCCACCTTCCACTCTACTGCCCTTTAGTCTATGGCTAAAATCAATTTCATCTGCCCTAGCCAGCTGCAAATCAGAGACTGGTAGGACAAGGCCAGAGTTTTAGCCTTACCCTCCCAGTTAGGTCTTAGTTTAACAATGGGGAGAGAATTTGGAGGATGAAACTGAACCTCTCCTAAAACAAGACCCAAAGGAATTGACTGTGAGTATAGCAAACTGGGTCAACACATAAAAGCACTTAGGCTTAGGGATGCTTGTAGTTATTTTGGAGGGCATAGCAGCTATACTACTGACATGTGCCAAATCAAGACATAATCATCAGAGGCTACACTAATTCTTTTCAGGATGTGGCCTAAAGCTCTAGCATGACTGAAGTCAAGCAAGAGGGTAGCACCAAAAAGGAAGGAATATGCCAGATTCTTATGATACTGTCAGAGACAAATAGAAATACAAGGAGAAAAGTGATAGCCGGGCGCCAGTGGCTCACACCTGTAATCCTAGCTACTCAGGAGGCTGAGATCTGAGGATTGCAGTTCAAAGCCAGCCCGGGCAGGAAAGTCTGTGAGAC